AGATAACTTGCTAAATTGGAGAAGGTACTATTGTCAACTAGTATTTCAAGTAAATGAATCCCGGCTACAAAAAAGAAAAAAAGAAGTCTACATATTCTCTTTAACAACAATTTTTAAGAGCCGCCAGAATCTGCAAGAGATTAATTTATAAAATTACACACTTTATAAGCAATACAGCGATTTTAGCAATATGATACATCAATAGCATTATGTTGTAACTAAGCCGATGCATTTAAAGGTTCAACTCTACAGTGGAGCGATGATATTAGGCCACGCTTTTTACTTCAACAGAATAATAATCATCTCTCAGTAAACAGAACTTTGCGGCAGACAGAACCTCCCTTGAACCATTGTTCGTCCCAACTGTGGTTTCTGAACTTTAGAAAGCTATTCTCTGCCTTTGAACTTCAAGGAAGTAGGAGCCTACTTTCTTCATCCAACTAAAATGGCAGATGCACCAGCTGACCTGAAGATTCCATTGTTCCACTTCAAGCTCCTGAAGACCAAAAACTTCTACTATAGTAAAGGAGGCTAGGCAATAGACAAACACCTCCAAGGACATCTAATAGACCCAATTAATCCTTTCTCTAGTAAACTGAAGTGGCACCGTTGAAAATAACATGATATGAAGATGTAGATGCATCTCGAACATGAGTCTAACAGAGAGCGCGAGAATGAGTGTGACGCTTCCTTAATCCATTTCTTTTCAATTATATAATTAAGCACAAGAAATATGGCATTCAAACACTTCCCATTAATTGAATGATGTATGAAACCGCTTGCTTTCATCTGTCTTTTCCATTATACAGTTCAGCTAAAGAATGTAGTTTCCAAATCTTATTAAATTGAATACCAGCATGACTGACCACTGCTATTTTGTGTCTTTTGTATTGCATATGCTAAAGGATATGATTTTCACACAGTTCTTTAATTGTTAATTTCTTTTATATTTCTAGAGATCACTCTGTTAACCCTACTTCCAGTTCAATGGACTCAACTCTTGTGAGACGAACATACACCACATGTGGAATCAGAAAACCAACCTGCTGATTATTTATTCTTCCATGCCCACTCTTGAGTCCCCTGGAGTCCCTGAGGTACATAGCCAATCAACATGAAGTAGACTCAGGAAAAGTGAAGTGATTGTACTAAAATATAAGCACAATGTACCTGGTGGAAGCGGGTAGGATCATTTACTGAACTATTAGCGGTCTGCAATTGTGTATAAGCACCTTCCTGCATGACAGAATAAAATTATGTACAAAATACACAAACAACTGAATAATTTATCACAGTAGTAGTGTAAAGTTCCCCAAGCAAAATAAATAAGTTATAAAAGAATTCAACTGAGATATTGGACTATCTAAAAAGTCTACCGTCATATAATGAAGTGAACTAATCAAAATAAATAAACTATTGCCTCCCAGAACTTTCAAATGCAATGATGAAATCTGGAACTGCTAATAGAATAGCAGACCTGTGAAGGGAATGAAGGTTGCTGTAGCGGCTGAGGGTGAGGCATCTGTGTCTGGAATTGGGCTTGAATCTGGGCTTGCGGAGTTTGAGAGAGTTGCTGGGCAGATAGTAGTTGATGATGTGGCTGGTTATGAGGCTGCAGTACTGGTGGCTGTGGCTTTTGTTGTTGTTCAATTGCCGCAAGCTCTTCAGGTCTCTCCCACTGCAGGTTTACACATGAGAACATTAACCACACAAATCGCAGAAATAGCCTCGTAAAAACGCAAGCTTCAAGAAATTCTCACCTTGCTCTCACCAGTTACGCTATTATAATAATATTTGTAACCATCAGGAGAAGTGTGCTCTGTCCAATTGCATTTCAAAGGAGCTACAACTTGGGTATTTATTGTTGCAGGAGGAACAACTGTAGATGAATGTGTATCTGAAGTTACAGAAGACGTGGCACTGGCAGTTGACTGTGAAACAACCCCCACCCAGTGCGACTGCAAGGGCACGTAAAACAAAAGATATTCAAAATGTTTTATGGTATCATGTACCTCAACAAATCCAAACATATTCTATTAGTGTAGAGATATCCTCTAGCTTAGTACTGGTTACCTGTTGCTTAATAGCCTGGGAACTCTGATGCAGTGCTGAACTTTGGTTTGATGGTTGTATCAGCTGCAACTGCTGCTGTAGCTGAGAGAATGCCTGCTGGGAAGACTGAAAACTAGCCTGCAGAGTTTGTTTTTGTTGCGACAGCATATGAGCTAACTGAGAAGGTGAATTCTGATGTGGTTGAACCGGAGCAGGAAGCTGCTGTTGATTAGCAGCTGAAACAGCATGGGATTGTAAGTTCACACTCAAAGGAGCCTGTGTAGCTGCAGAAGATGAGGCGCCCTGCTGGGCCATAGCCTGAGATACAGGCAGCTGCCCACCTAAGCCAGGTGACTCTTGTGAAGGCACGGGCTGACTGAAGGGCATTGGACCAGAAGACTTAAAATTTTGTGGTTGACTATGCTGTTGTACTAACGATGCAGATGTATGTATCTGAGAATAGGGAGGTGGAGCATGAGGGTGCTGCAATTGACTCGAAGCTGGCAATTGTTTCGGTGACTGAACAGGCTTTAGCATTGGCGATGTTTGGAGGCCAAGCGGTGGATGTTGGGTTGCTGACTGATTAAAATTCTAATAAAATTCAGATAATATTAGAGATTATTTGGAATGCCTAGGATACAATCCAGCAGGTAACCTAAAATCATAAATTGATGTCCAAATACCTGTTGAGAAACTGAGGATGCTGGATTGATTAACCCTTGACTGGGACCTCTGAACCCACTAGTAGGACCACCCTACCAATTAAGCAAGCAAATTAGTTAACAGAATAAGAATTAGTAATTGATAAAGATATGCAACGTACATCCATGCCCATAGATTACAGCTAAGAGTATAATCATGAGTGAAGTAAAAGAGGCTTGAGAAAGGAAAAGTCAGATCAGGAAAAGCAAATTTATAACATTAAATTGAAATATAATCCAATCACTCATAAATGAAAACAATCCAAACAATGATCATAACTGAACAATTTGATGCTATTATAACTGGACAATTAGATGCAATTAACCGGACCTATCAAATACACACCATATAACTTATTGTTGGACTTTCAGACAGCAGCGTCCTTTTGTAATTAGGAGGCTTTTAGTGGGGACTGGGGAGGACTAGAAGCAAACTTATTTTCAGGTTTCTAACAGGCGGCAAATGTGTAAGAATCTTTTCATGTACATTGATCATGTCCAATGGGAAGGCCTCTCTACAATTACTTCTATTAGCTGTACCTAGGGAGACTTCTATCCTACCAATTTTTGTTGCTTGCTACAAAGTTCAATTTATGAGGTTTCTTATCTGGAAAAGACAAGGCAATATCCAATACAAGGATTATACAGAAACAGTTTCATAAAATGCTTGTGTTTGAATGCTTTTCGATTTTATAAGTTGGGATATAAAACATCAAGGTAAACATTGACATTTTAAACATTCTAGGGTCGACCTATAATAAATGGAGTAAGTTGCAATTTTTGAGATTATGGGTTTCAAGTTTTCAAGGCCACCTACAAAAATATCTTATGAGTTCTCCCATATCAAATATGGTTTAGTTAAAGAGAGTGTAAGTATACTACAATTACAATACGTACACACATCAATCACATGAGTAACCCTCAAAATGACATGTCAAAATGATAATAAATTACCAAATTCAAAGGCAATCCCATTTCACTGGACCTAGGAGGCAACTGACCCCCAAAGGGGTGAATACCAGCATCAACAGGTGGCCTAAACCCTCGTACATCAATTGGAAATTGATCGCCCATAAATTCACCAAAATTAGGCATTGGTCCGCTAAAAGCACAAAACAATCAAGAGCATGAGTAGAAAATATAAAGAAAATGCAAGGAAAAATCGCAACAATGGCAATAAAAAGGCTCCAGAGAAAAAAAAATGCGCCATCACATGCGTGAAACATGACTCAAGAAGAAAGCAAAGATTTTATGGACCATGTAGTACAACTATGATTATTTTTGGCTAACGTCATTCAGACAGTGTTCTTGGTACGTTTCATTTATTCACACACTCACACACGAAGGCCGTCTAAGGAATCACCCACAGTGAATTTTACCTTGGCCCAGGTGCTTGAAAGCGAGAACCAAAACCAGGACCTCCGAATGCAGGGGTGCCCCTGAAAAATATCAAAAAGCAAGATCCTAAAATTATACGGATTACTAATAATCAAAAATAGGGAAGGGTGTACAATACATGCAATAATACATGAAGAAAATGAAAAATTTCAGAGTTCAAACCAAGATTTAGGAAAATGTTAAAGAAGAAAAGAAATAAGACTTTCAAATAACCTATTTTCAATTCCAAAATTATATAATAAAGGGAATATCATGTCAAACCTTGAATCTCCAGATCTAGGCTTCTTTGGGTCAGCAAAGCGAACACTTAATGGTTGATCACAACCCTAATTATAATTAAGGAAACTCAAACAGTATTAGGCTTTCGTAATAAATACTGCAGAAAAGAAAATCATAAACCTTTATTGGAAAAGACTTACTCTCATTGTATAGATTCCATTAAGTGCATTTATAGCTGCCAATGCCATATCCCTATGCGAATACTTCACAAATCCACACCCTTCAAAATTGTATGGCTTAGAAACATATGGAAAACAAAAATAATAGGAGTAGCAATAGTAATTATGATGGTGATGATTAGCTTTGGATCTAATAATTCAACGGCCTAGTACATAGTATGATAGTAGTGAACATCTGAAGATGCTTACAGATTACTGGTATGATATATATTGCCACCACTGAATGTGTAACTTATTAAATACAATTAACTACATACTATTCAGAAGGCATTTTCCATCTTGGATTGATATTGGAAGACATTTTACAGACTTTCATTATTCAAATACCCCTAACCTAAAGGCCTTTTTTTTAGATATTTCATTGTGACACGAAATATACAAAAAGATGAGCCTAAGAACTAGATTACAAAAGGAGCTTCCAGTTTTTCATGAGATCATTAAGACTATAATTTGTGAGAGGGGAATAAAAGCATTTACACCATTCAAAAGCTACAACCAAAACTCTGTTGTAGAACCTAAAGGTCTTGACCGAAAACAAGGTTCAAAATTGACTAGGAAAATCCACGCTTCTCAGTAGCTAACCACACAATAACAAAACGCAGCACAAGAAACTCAAGAAATATAAAGAGGCTAAGGTCTAACTTGATATAACCCAAACTAATTCAACATGACCGAGCCTTGAACTAAGCGAATTTGTTGGATCCATCATAACTTAGCCTAATTATAGGACCCCGTAGAATATTTGTAATTCACTCGATGCTAATTTTCTCTAAGATTCTCTCATAAATAATTACATATTCTTAGTTTCACTTTTTCCAATTCCTTAAAAGGTAGCAGTTACCACGAAAGAAGATTGAGGAATTTCCTTTAGAAGAGAGGCAAATGGGAATATCAGTCCTCAGGGTTTTTAACTAGATGGCCACCGATACAAACAAATTATGCCATAACGATAAATTGAGACTCGTGTTCTTATTTCCATCTTACATAGAATTGCTAGGCTATTTCCTGCTGATCTTCGTTCTCTTAGAATTTTGACAGACAAAAGCAGATAATCAAAATCCTAGATTTCCATATTAATAAATGCTGGATCAAAGTTGAGTTCTTTATCCATTCATTTTAAGCATCTATGACTCCTATCCATATAAAATAATCTCTATAATTTTAGCCAACTGAGAATCGAAATCTAAATCATTAACATTTGATAACATACGTTCTCCACATTAAACAAGAACAGGGATCAAAAACTTTTATTAACTTCGAGTTGTCAAGATAACACTTAACACAAGATCAAACAGATTTGAAAAGCATACCCCGACTCTGTTTCATTTCATCTCGCATAAGGTAAACATCTTCAACTACACCATATGGAGAAAAGATCTGAGAACAGAAATATTGATCAATGTCTTAAAATATTGGAAGTGACCCACCAAATGATTATACTCCATGAAAAAGGAATAGGAAGATAAAGGCATACACACTTCCACAACCAAAAATTGACAATATACAACTAACTGGAAGTAAATTTCAAAGAGCTCGATAAACAAAAGTTCATAACTAATTTGATGGCTCAAAAACAAGAAAGGAAAAGAAGCAGCTTCCACAATACCAAAATCCAAAAAACAGGTAACATGTAATAGTAATATTGAGATAAAAAAGGTTAACTATACGGTTATGACATACTTCCTTGACTTCTTTTTCTGAAGCTTGTTTATTCAGTGAGCCAACAAACAATTTGTACTCAACTGCTCCTGCAGAAAATAAGTAATGACGTAATCAATGAAATGATAAAATAAAAATTTTAGCAAGCAGATAAATTCACCATTAGGCCAAGACTAAGAACAACGATCAAAAAGTCACCATACAATCATACATGATGTGTTCATTATAACATAATGAGAAGGAAATGCAACACACAGAAAATTGAAGGAACTAACTACATTTCCCCTTTGTGGGGAAGGTTGACAAAGCCATGTCTGATTTTTTTTTTTTAAGAAAAAACTGAACTTTCGTCTCAGAAGAATGAGACAATACAAAAAGATATACAGTACCACCAACTAAAATATTTCTCTACCCTGTAAACAATAAAAAAAAAATATACAAAAGGACATACAAAAAATCAGCCCAACAAAAGGGTGCCAAGCTAAAAGAACGGGCTCCAATCTAGCAAAATCAGACTTAATGAGTAGTTACAGAAGGCTCTGGACACCAAGACCCAGAAGAAGGCATGAAACCGAACAAGAGCCCAAACGTCCTCCCAAGATCTCTCAACCCCTCTAAAAATCCTGTTATTTCTCTCAGTCCACAAGTCCCATAGAACAGCTAAGAAACTGCCTCGTCCTTTAATTATCAGTCTTTAAGCTTTCATGCGTACTCACAAAAATAAAAGCTAGGTATTAGTGCTCAAAGCAATAGTTTCAGAAAACTTAGTTTATAGTTAAGTTCCACATCCTTAAGATTCTAGGATTATACTTCAATCATGCTCTGTCCAGATTGAAATTAATATTTTCTCCAACTCATTTTCAAAATTGAATTTCTCTTAGGTAACAACTGAACAGCTCTGTCCAGATTGAAATTAATATTTTCTCCAACTCATTTTCAAAATTGAATTTCTCTTAGGTAACAACTGAACATTAAAAAATAACAAAATTAAAATTACTGTCTCTACATTTTAATCCCCCCACCCCAGCACACAACAAAGAGAGGGAAAAAAAATGAAAACCTGCATAAAGAGATAGAAGACTGTCAATGTAAGTTTAGATTGAAAAATAAAAAAAGTCAATTACCAAGGCGCTCCCGCTCTCCATCAGCATATCTAACTTGAATTGGACCCGTTCCCTGTGAACATATTTAATGATATACAGTAGAATTTCACCCGATAAATAGATCAACTACATTTAGGGGAGGGGAGGGGGGGCAGGGAAAACTCACCCCAGGAAGGGTATGTTGATTGTGCAAATTCCTAATTGCTCTATCGGCTTCTTCTGAGGTTGTATATTTTACAAAACAACATCCTGCATGAGTAAAGGCTGTTCTGATTTGACTACGTTGGATCATAACTTGGTATTAATGGAGTTACATATATGTGTAAGCAGAAATGTATACATTTACGTCTAACTATAAACCCCAGACAAACAAAAAAATTGCAACACAGTCCCATGTAAAATTAATGCTGCATCCATATATTCTCCTTTCCATTTTTTTAAAAATAATAAGAAACCTGAGATTTGCATGCATCCATATATTATCATATCATTACAATCTACAGAAAGTCTAACTTTACAGTAACAATAATAAAATATACAGTGTCAGCTACAAAATCATTAGAAGGTAGAAGAAAGGGATACAAACACACTCACAGAAATGGAAAATGAGAAATTAATATATATGTATAGATGTTGGTCACAACCTGCCAACTACAAACACACGGGAAGATTTAGGTAAAGAACACTGAACACCACAAAACCCTCAACATCTATAAGGAACCACCTTCCAGAAAGTAAAACAAAGGATCCAAAGCCAGTTGCCCACTAAAGTCATAACAAACTGCATCCAAATAAGATAAGCGCACAAATTTTAATTCCATTCATTCATTAAAAACACGGCCAACCATAGAAAGAAACTTATCAGGCATCGGCATGGGGGCTATATTCCACACTAAATGTTCTCTGCAGGAAAAGATTTGAAGCACACAAACGCAACCATTCATTAACGATCTCATCGGGAACAGTAAAACTAATGGACGGGAAATGTCTAAATAATGGAAAAGCCAGTTATCAAGAATTTCTCATCATCAACCATTAGGAATTAGGTAGTATAATCACTAACGTGCACAATATGACTGCCTAAATAATCTTTGGGATTGCAATCATTGTCTTCATTCGTCAGCACCACCACAACAACCATCATTAGAATCATATCAGTCTTACATTAGCTAGAGAATATCTCGCTTTGAACAATCTTGGAAGAAAATATCATATCCCAGAACTAAAATTCTAATTTAAAAGGTTAAGCTAGTTATGATCAAACAATCTACTGTCCCACACATTCATGAAAATTTAATCACGTTCACTCACGGTATAAAACAACTTCCTGCAATTTAATCACATAAAGTACATTGATCAAGGACACCATGTAGCCATGAAATACATTAAGTAAAGCCATCAGAAACCATGTTCTCCACAACTGCATTACTCTACCTTATCAAAAAACCCTTATATAACAAAATTGCAAAAGGTTTAATAAATGATAATGACATTCCCATGCCTCCTACAATCTCATAAAAGCAGAGAACCTAAATTGGATGATACAATAACATCCAAAATGAGAGCAGGTAAACTTCCAAATGTGTAAATTCATGGGCTTGAGCAGGTACCCGTCAAACAAAAATATGGAAATCTACTCAGCATGGAATATCCAAAACTAAAGTTGCCTCTTAGCATGCCAACGCAATAAAATTTGATAAGAGTATATTTGAAGGAGATATTCTCTGAAACTCAACATTGTTGCATTGAAAGTCACATCATTTTGCTAAAATCAATTCTGGACTAAGGATTCACTAGTTATCCTCTTTTTACAGACCGAGGAGAAATTTTTTGTAACTCCCAAGGTCTAGGCCCTTTGTATACTACTATTTTATTCTTTCAATGGAATTTCTTATTTCAAAACAGAAAAAAAAATAAAAAATGAGAAGGGAGGATTTATCCTTCCACAATGCAACATTTGGACAAAGTAGTGTTGATGATAATAATTGAGACACTTCTATGGATCAGAAAAAAAAAACGCACAATCCCACATAACAACCAACAAAGACAAAGGATCTCTTGGCTGAGCTGAAGCCAAGATTTCAAACACCAGGAGATAAACATCAGGGCTGAACTGTAAACTGAACTCACAAGTTCATGAATTTGAAAACACGGTAAACTAAATAAATTAACCAAGAACAAAAACCTCCTTGAACAAACAACAACTCATACACAAGCAACTAGTTCCAGATCTATTTGTTCTGCTTTCATACTACTAAACATAGGTACAACAGATAATTAAAAAACATCAACAGAAAAAGGGATGAGTTTCACATGGTCAAAACAGCAAAGTTTTGCGTTGCAGCAGTACTCCCAAAGAGTCTGGCTTGAAACATAAAATAATTGGAAAACGGAACATCTGTTTTAGCATTATAATAATATGCTACATAATCACATCCATCATCAAATATGATAGGGCTTCTTTCATTTTCATGGATAAAGAAAAGACATGATCTGGTAAACAAACCAATCCATGTGCTCCATACTACAATAGACTTAACCTATTCAGAGAAATAGATAAGTAGCCTGAAAATCCTTGATACTCATCCATTCATTCCATGAATGGTCATAAATGTAAGCTATCAGTTACCAACTGTCCAACAATACATTCAACTCACAAAATTCATTACATAACTAAATCCACTAGGAGTGGATTAACAATACATTCAACTCACAAAATTCAATAACAATTCAAAGTTTGAAACCAAATCGTTTAAAAGAACCACATTCACCACAATAAGCATTCAAATCTTCCAAATTTACAATATGTTAACAGAAAATTTTTATTAAAAAACGTGTATTTTCTAAATTAACAATTCTTTACATTTGTTCCACTATTAAACATCCTGACACAAAAAAGCTAAACTGCTGGCAGCAGACACTCCCATTACAAAAAGAAAAAAGATAACTTTTTGGGTAATATCCTTCTTTGCTGCAGCTAGTCAGCCACTATCACAAGGCACGGTCTTTTGTGCTCCACTGCCATACAAAACTTGATATTATAGCAGGTTTACATGCCTTGTCTTCTTCTTGTTTGACATGATGGACAAAAAGATAGGATTGCAACGAAAACCAACAAGCACCAAACTTGTTGCAAAAACAAACTGAGACGAGCTCACGATTTCTTCGAGCCTCTCAAAACCTGAAATAACATGCGTATGAACCAAAAGTGATTCATACAAAGTAGAAGTTATGCTTACCTTGTTGCTGGCCTGTTCTCTTATCCTTTATCAAAGCTACTTCAATCACATTTCCATGTTCTTCAAACAATGGGCGAATCTGGTGTCAAATAAGCAAATTTTTAGAAAAGAAACCTATTTTTATGAAGAAGAATCAAAGTACAACCAAATGAAGGACAATCACAAAAAGGACTTGGTCACATCACATGAACCCAAAACGAACTAAAACATTTTTCCAAGAACCCTTAATACTATCTCAAATCCTCCCATTTCTCTCAAACCATACATCCCAAGAAGGATAGCACAAAACCTAGCTTTCCACAAAAGATGTTTGTCCAGAAACGAAAGGTGTAAGACAACTTCCTCCATCATAACATAACATCTTTGAGGAGGAACAATCAAATGTCTAGAAGAATTTCTCCCACAACCAGGCAAACAAAATGATACGGCCAAATGCTTCTTTGCTTGCTTACAAAGAACCCACCACCATGATCCAAGCAGTATCATGGGCAATGATTGATCACTGAAAGAAATCAGCAGTATCAAGCCTCCCAAGGGCAATGATACAAAAAATAACACCTTCCTCAAGATGTTAACCTTCCAAAGCTATGTGGTGAAAGGAGAAGAAGACAAGAAAGAAAAACAAGCGAAAATGTAGAACTTACAAGAGAGCGAAAAAGTTCGAGAGATCTAATACGACTATTCTTCACTTCAAGTCTAAATCAAACCCTTTGAATGACAAATGGAAGGGAGGAAAGCTCAAGCATTTGTTAGTCAAACAGAGCCCTTCTAAAATGGAATTTATGAGATACAAACCCTCTTCAAAAGTACATGAAAGATGAATGGAAAAACTTTTAAATAGAAAAAGATTGAAGAGAATAGGCAAAACATTAATAATTTGATGACAGTCCCCCTCTCGTGCAACTCACCAAACACCTTGAGAGAATCCAATAAGATAACATAACATCCCAAATATACTTTAATAAGGCCATCAAATAACCATCAAGGTCTGAGAGCTTTAGAACCCTAAAAATAAAACAACACTTTCATAATCTCTTCCAATGTGAAAGGGCACTCTAGAGCTTCCTATTCCTAATATAAATGGGCTACCAATCAAGGCCATCAACATCACAGAAATTTTGGGGAGCCACAGAAAGGGAGAAAAGTTGAACAAGAGGATGTCCCTATATATGTTTCTCTCACATCGACACCATCCTCCATGACAAGAGAATCAATTATGTTTCTCTCTTCTTAAAATTGGCAATCTAGTGTATAAAAAATGGCATTGTGAGAATTACCCTATTGAGCCCACTTGACTCGAATCTTCTACCTCTCCAACTCAAATCCTCCCAATTCGCAAACAATGCATAATTTTGTGCTAATTAAGGTGCACATACCCATAGACAATAAATTTTCAATTTCTTAATTAAGAATCATGCTAAATCCTTCGTGAATTTAAAACTGTCCAAAAGCTACCCACTCGCTCACTGGGGGAGTTTCACCTTAAAGGGAGAATCACATAGCTGTATGCTTTCAAATCCAAATGAATAACAGCCTGCCTAGCTAAGCCAATTGATACTAATGGAACGATTATGCAAGACAACTCTATGAAGTAACATTAACCCATCCCTTCAAAGATGTTACCAAACCTCTCAACAATAAAAATCTATCCAACCTACAATATGCCACATCAGAGTTAAGACTTAACCAAGTGAGGATCCAAAAGGCCACAATATTTTATAACTTATAAGATTTTGAGTTCTATCATGAACCTAAAAAGCCTTATTCAGATTGATTGCTTAGTTGGAAACCTATTTAATGAATACTTAAGGCTAACCTCTTCTTCTGTTGCTGTCCTTGGAACAGATCCAACAAACAGCTTGGCAAAATTGCTTCCATCAGGGTGATCTGAAGATAGAAAATCATGATATTAGCAAGATGCAAAATAGCGAAGATGCAGTGTAAAAGATATGAGAACTACGATAAGAATAGATTGTTTATAGAGAGATCAAGAAAATGTGTTATATGGAAATTGGTGCCCGTGATGCATGCTAAGAAGATTGGAGTTTATGGCTGGCAGCAATCATTTGGGTTCAAATCATCAGGGGCTTTTCTTGGGAGATTATGGCTGGAGAGGAATAATAGGGTCTTCAATGCCTAACCCCTTCCTTTTGAGATCTTTTTTTTTATAAGAGTTGTTGTTCTAGCCCTAGTAAATGTTCTATTCTACTCCCCCTTCAATAGTTACAGTGTGAACAATCTTGCCTCTAATCGGAAGGCGTTCTTGTAACGTGACCCTGTGACCTTTTGTACATTTCATATCATCAATGAAATACTGCTAGATTTTAACAACCCAACAAAATCTTGTCTCTTCTTCCACAGTAAACATTTTATTTTATGTGATTCGCATAAAAATATTGAGTAATTGTGTGACTGGGCGTGAAATATATCGGTAGAATTCACCAAGAAAAAGACCCCACAAACAGAACTACTCGATAACGGGATAATTAGAGGCAAACAATGTTTTAGAGTTCCATAGAACAGAGCTATGCACAAGAAGCATAAAGAAGCAATAAAGAGTGCAAGCAAAGATACTTGGAAATTGGAATTAATCCGCAAAATCTTTACCTGGAGAACTTCCACGGGCGGAGAAGGGATAGCCTCGTTTCTGACCTGCAACAGGTGGGGGCTGGAAGTTGGAGCCAAAGGCAGCGGCAGAGCCGGGGATTGGACGGAAACCCCCGGCAGGAGCTCCCATTGGGCGAAAACCGGCGGGAGCGGGAGCGGGAGGGGGAGTGGAGTAGCGGGGTGGGCTGTCGAAGGGGCGACGGTGGGGTCCGGGAAGGGGAGTACGGCGAGTGTCGTGATGGTTGAGGGGGGAGTCGGAGAAGCGAGAAGGAGGCCCGGAGTGGCGGTCGGGGCCGGAGCCATGGCCATAGCGGTCTCCTCTGTGTCTATCCAGCTTGGAGAAGTGAGGAATCGAAGCCGAATTTATGGAGTGGTGTTCGTGTTCGTGTTCGGGACAGTGACTGTGTAAAGTGTAAAGAAGTGAGGGAAATTCCAAAATCCAACCACTCGTACTTCCGGGGAGGAGAAGGCGGAGTCAGACTCGGGAGGAGAGGAGCAAGAGGAATCCCGCGCTGTCAGAGAAACGAGGGAACCAAAAATTATTTTTAATATTTCTTTATTATTATTATTAATATAATGCCCCCGTTGCAGAGATGTAACTGGGCCGTTTGAGCAGCCCGTCGTTCTTATAAGACACGTGGCCCATTATCGGCTGGGAAATTTAACACTGAACCTCATTTCAATAAAGGGACAACATAAACGGCAAAATAGGCTTAACGTTGATTAATTGTAAGTTTGAGCCCATCCTCCATATTGTTTTAATCAAGAATTGTAAGTTTGATCCCATCCTCCATATTGTATTAAAAAGTAAATAGTACATTTTAAAAAACGGTCAGGATACGATATTATTATAATCGCTAACAAATAATTATTGTTCAATTTTCTAATTTAATTTGGATAGATATACCTTAGAAATAAAATGGCCAAAATTATTGTACAAGTCTCTTCCTTTTTTTTTACAAATATTGCAATGACCCGATTTTTTTTTTATTTAGATCGTCTAGGAACATTATTAAAACAAAATACAATACAATTTCACAATATAACTTTATAAAATTAAATTTAAAAAAAAATTTATTCAGGTAAAATGTTTACATAAAACACAATATTAAAATAAATAATTCTTAATACCAAAAAAAAAACTAAAATTAATGCAGAAGCAAAAATCCATGACACGGCCCACATATATCTTCGTCATTCACTTTGTATGTCTTTGTTCTTCTCTAAAGGGTAAATATAAAAATACTTAGTAAATATTTGTTAATCAAAATATTTGTCTGTTTCTTTTCCTTTTTGGCCAATATGGACAACTGATTCTTCATAATTAATACCAACTTTATTTTAGTACATAAGCAGTAATTGTTACCTAATCAGCAGAGCCAAATCTCGCTCGAACAACGCCTCTTTCTCAATCTTCTTTAAAATGAAGGTAATTGCCACAAAATAAAAAAAAAACCTTCTAAAAAGTCGTTTTTTGCACCACTTTTCACCTCGTTTACCTTCTAGTTGAGCCAACATCCCTACAAGAGAAAATCAAATCATTATGGAACCAAAAAAAAATTAAAATAAAAAATTACCGTATATGTCCCTGTTTTCAAAATTACAAAAAACATCCTTCTAAAAATTCACTTTGTCGCACACTTTTCGCTCCATTTACCTTCTAGTCGAGCCAATATCTTTACAAGAGAAAATCAAAGGATTATCGAACCAACAAAAAAAACCATAAAAAATTACCGATTATGCCCTGCTTTCAAAATTAAAAAAATACCCTTATAAAAAATCGTTTTTCACCAACTTTTCGCTCCGTAAAATTCTTCAAACATTACCGTTTATACCCCTATTTTTTAAAAATTGCAAAAATACCCTTATAAAAAGTTGTTTTTCACGCAACTTTTCGCTCCATCTACCTTCTAGTTGAGCCAACATCTTTACAAGAGAAAATCAAATGATTCTTGAACAAAAAAATGTTTCCTAAAAAATTATGGTTCAAGCCCCTGTTTTCAAAATTAAAAAACATCGTTCTAAAAAGTAGTCTTTCGCGCCAATTTTCGTTTCGTTTACCTTCTAGTTGACCCAACATCCTTACAAGAGAAAATCAAAGGAGTCTGGAACCAAAAAATATTCATAAAATTACTGTTTAAGACCCTACTTTCAAAATTACAAAAATAACCTTCTAAAAATTCATTTTTTGCACCACTTTTCGCCTTGTTTACCTTCTAGTTGAGACAACATCTTTACAATAGAAAAACAAATGATTCTTGAACCAAAAAAATATCCAAAAATTACTGTTCACACGCCCTATTTTTAAATTACCAAAATACCCTTCCAAAAAGTCGTTTTTCGAGTCACCGTTCACATCTTTTACCTTCTAGTTGAGCCAACATACAAGAAAAAATCAAATGATTTTGGACCAAAAAAAATTTCAAAAATTACCGTTTACGCCCCTGTTTTCAAAATTACAAAAATACCCTTCTAAAAAGTTGTTTTTCGCACTACTTTTCGTACCGTTTACATTCTAGTTGAGTCAACATTCTTACACGGGAGAATTAAATGATTTTGGAACAAAAAAAAAGTTCTTCAAAAATTACTGTTTATGCCGCTATTTTTAAAATTACAAAAATGCCCTTCTAAAAAGTTGTTTTTCACACAACTTTCCGCTCCATTTACCTCTTAGTTGAGCCAACATCTCTCAATGATTTTGGAACTAAAAAAATTTTTCCAAAAAATTACCGTTCAAGCCCCTATTTTTCAAAATTGCCAAAATACCCTTCTAAAAAGTTGTTTTTCACGCCACTTTTCGTTCTGCTTACCTTCTAGTTGAGCTAACATCCATATAAGAGAAAATCAAAGGATTCTGGAACCAAAAAAAATTCATAGAAAATTACATTTTACGACCCTGTTTTCAAAATTATAAAAATACCCTTCTAAAAATTAATTCTTTGCGCCACTTTTCACCTCGTTTGCCTTCTAGTTGAGCAACATCCTTCTAAAAGTCGTTTTTCGCGCTACTTTTCTCTCTGTTTATCTTCTAATTGAGCCATCCTCCTTTCAAGACAAAATAAAATGATTCTAGAACCAAAACTAAATTTCTTAAAAAATTACCATTTGCGCCACAATTTTCAAAATTACAAAAATACCCTTCTAAAAAGTTGCTTTCACGCTACTTTTCGCACCGTTTACCTTCTAGTTGAGCCAACATCCTTACACGGGAAAATCAAATAATTATGGAATAAAACAAATTTTCTTAAAAATTATCGTTTACGCCGTTTTAAAAATTACAAAAATATGCTTCTAAAAAGTTGTTTTCACGCATCTTTTCGCTCTGTTTACCTTCTAGTTGAGACAACATCCTTACAGGAGAAAATCAAATGATTATGGAACCAAAAAATAATTTTTGAAAACAGGGGCGTGAACGATAATTTTTCAGGAATTTTATTTTGGTTCAAGAATCATTTGTTTCTCTGGTAAGGATGTTGGCTCAACCTGAAGGTAAACAAGGTGAAAAGTATCGCAAAAAACGACTTTTTAGAAGCCTATTTTTGTAATTTGAAAACAGAGGCGTAAACAGTAATTTTTGAAGATGTTATTTGTTCTAGAGTCATTCGAGTATGTAAGGATGTTGGCTCAACTAGAAGGTAAATGAAGTGAAAACTGGCGCGAAAAACGAATTTTTGGAAGGGTATTGGTGTACATTTGAAAACAGTGAAGTAAACGATAATTTCGATAATTTTTTTTGTTCCAGAATCCTTTGATTTCATCTTGTAAGGATGTTGGCTCAACTAGAAGGTAAATGGAGCGAAAAGTGACGTGAAAAAACAACGTTTTATAAGGGTATTTTTGTAATTTAAAAAACACGGGCTAAACGATAATTTTTTATGATTTTTTTTTTCAGAATCTTTTGATTTTCTCTTGTGAGGATGTTGTCTCAACGGAGCGAAAAATTATGTGAAAAAGACTTTTTAGAAGGGTATTTTTGTAATTTTTAAAACAGATGCATAAACAATAACTTTTTAGGAATTTTTTTTGGTTTCAGAATCATGTTATTTTCTCATTTAAGGATGTTGGCTCAACTAGAAGGTAAACAGAGTGAAAACTTGCGTGAAACACGACTTTTTAGAACGGGGAGTGAACGACAATTTTTTAGGATTTTTTTTGGTTCCATGATCATTTGATTTTATCTTGTTAGGATGTTGGCTTAACTATGCTGTAAATGAGCAAAAAGTTGCGCTAAAAACGACTTTTTAGAAGGGTATTTTTGTAATTTTGAAAACAGGGGCGTAAATGTTAATTTTTGAAGAATTTTATTTATTTTTTTGTTCCAAAATCATTTGCCTTGTAAGGATTTTAGTCAACTAGAAGGTAAATGAAACAAAAGGTGGCGCGAAAAATGATTTTTTAGAAGGATATTTTTGTAATTTTGAAAATAGGGGCGTGAACGGTAATTTTTTAGGAAATTGTTTTTTGATTCCAAAATCATTTGATTTTCTCTTGTATGGACGTTGACTCAACTAGAAGATAAATAGAGCGAAAAGATATTTTTGTAATTTGGAAAACAGGGCGTGAAAAGTACTTTTTTAGGAAATTTCTTTTGGTTTAAGAATCATTTATTTTTCTCTATAATAATTTTGGCTCAATTAGAAGGTAAACGAGGCGAAAAGTACCTCGAAAAATGACTTTTTTAGAAGGCTAATTTTGTAATTTTGAAAACGGGGCCATAAACAGTAAATTTTAAAGAAATTTTTTATGGTTCCAAAATCATTTGATTTTCTCTTGTGAGGATGTTGGCTCAACTAGAAGGTAATCAGAGTGAAAAGTGGAGCTAAAAACGACCTTTTAGATGCGTATTTTTTAATTTTGAAAAGAGGGATGTGAACGGTAATTTTTAAGATTTTTTTTTGTTCCATAAACATTTGATTTTATCTTGTTAGAACGTTGACATAACTAGATTGTAAATGGAGTGAAAAGTGGCGTTAAAAATGACTCTTTAGAATGGTATTTTTGTAATTTTGAAAACAGGGATGTAGACGGTAACTTTTTATGATTTTTTTTTTGTAGACTCCTTTGATAAGAATTTTGGCTCTACTAGAAGGTAAATGGAGCAAAAAGTGGCATGAAAATGACTTTTTAAAGGGTATTTTGGCAATTTTGAAAATAACGGCATGAATGGTAATTTTTTAGGAATTTTTTTTGGGTTCCTGAATCATTTTATTTTCTCTGGTAAGGATGTTGGCTCAATTAGAAGGTAAAATAAGCGAAAAGTTGCGTAAAAAACAACATTTTAGAAGGGTATTTTGATAATTTTGAAAATAGGGGAGTAAACGGTAATTTTTGAAGAAATGTTTTTTTGGTGCCAGAAACATTTGATTTTCTCTAGTTAAGATGTTGAATCAATTTGAAGGTAAACGAAGCGAAAAGTGGCGCGAACAACGAATTTTTAGAAGGGTATTTTTGTAATTTTGAAAATAATGGTGTAAACGGTAACTTTTGATGATTTTTTTTTGTTCTAGAATTCTTTGATTTTCTTTTGTAAGGGTGTTGGCTCAACTAGAAGGTAAACATAGTGAAAAGTTGCGTGAGAAACAACTTTTAAACAACTTTTTAGAAGGATATTTTGGTAATTTTAAAAATAGGGATGTAAATGATAATTTTTTAAGAAATTTTTTTTGGTTCTAGAATTATTTTATTTTCTCTTATAAGTATGTTGGCTCAACTAGAAGGTAAACCGAACGAAAAGTGGTGCGAAAAACGATTTTTTGGAAGGGTAATTTTGTAATTTTGAAAATAAGGGCGTAAATCGTAATTTTTTATGATTTTTTTTTTTTAGAATCATTTAATTTTTTCTTGTAAGGATATTGACTCAACTAGAACGTAAACGGGTACGAAAAAACGAATTATTATATTTTACGTAGTTTCCAATCCGTACACCCTTACAATTACGACACGTGGCATGTGGGGATCAGCCTCGAATGATGTATTCATTCAAATACTAATTTTTATTTAATAAGACTAAAAAAAATGGTCAACATCCATTCAAACGTTTGTAATAAACGCATTTCAATAAAGACAAAACATCTCTATTTTCCTAAATTGTTTGACTTCAAAGTTGAAACTCCTTAGCCTTAAAGTTGAAACTCTTCTCCACTCGAAAACGTAGAAAATAAGGAGAACGGTTCGACCGTTAGAATCGCCGGAACTCTCACTGCCGGATTCTGGAATCTACTCCGGCATCGTCTTCAAAATCGACATTGTTGCAGAAACGGAAAATTTTGGAGATGAAAAACGAATCTCAAGAGTTGCAGAACTGCTCTCATGTTTACTGTCTCGCGCGTTCTTCTTTCTTTCATTTATTGTTCCATCACTCAATCTTTCTTCTCGCTCTCTTGGCTACATATACTTCCAATGGAGCACTTCTCTTCACTCATCCTCTTCTGTTTCTTCATTCTCATCCCTTTCCCTTGGATCGTCCCTGCGAGCGCGAAACCGTTGCTAATGCTTCTTGTTATCTTGTAAGAATCCTTCTGACTTCTTCCATTTCGGATTCTGTCGCTAACTCGTGGCAATGGCTTTATTGGGCCCTGTGACTCACGGTCAGGTTTGTATTCCAATCACTTTCCAACTATTTCAATTCCTCACTATTTTAATGTGAAATAAGTTAATCGCTGGTGCTAACTTTCTGATATTGTGGTTTTTCTTAAAATTTTGTTGCGCCAGCTCCATTACCAGTTAATGACAATTCATTATGAATGGAAAATAACTGAGCCTTTATCCATTGGAGTAGCTCTATTCAAAAACTAAACTAATGTTGTTACGATTTATATCGGTTTTGTCACTTGATGGTTGCAGGTTTCTTTTCTCATCGGACTTGTACTCATTCTCTTTGCATGGATTTATTCAGAGTACTTGGTGTTTAGAAAGAGGTCTATCTCTTCCAAACTGTAAGTTGAACGATTCTTTTAACTATAAATTTTTGTTGCACTCGCTTGTGTTCCTTAATGGATATGCTTATGTAATGTCTTGAATGGGGCTTGGATTTTGAATTCTCTAAAGAGCAGTTAAAATCTTGGACACCAAACTGTATGTATTTCTTAAAAACATGTACATATTTATGTATTAATTATTATTTTATATATAAGAAACAATATTAACAAAACAAGGAACACATATAGTTTGTTAGAAAGTGTGCTTTTAGTAATGTGAGTTGGGTGTAGTGTAGATGTGAGGATATTTTTGTAGAAAAGTTATTAATTTTTTAACATCGTCCATACTGAAGCTGCATTCTTTTTTAGAAGGCACTCTGATGTTGGCTTAGCCGAGGTAGAAAGTCATACTTCAAAGGAAGATGATAAAGCAGTTTTATTAGAAGGAGGAGCTATCAAGTCTATTTCCTCCGGAACTCGAATTCCACCTACCGTCTCTACTATTCTCAGGTTTGCAAAAGAAAGTGTTGATTTCTTCCAATGTTAGCTGCTGATTCTGTAGGTTTTCTTATATTTGTTTGCTTGTTTATTGTCTGCTAGATTCATTGTGCTGGAAGAGTCATTCTTGATAGAAAATCGAATGTTACTCAGAGCAGCGTAAGTGAACCCTTGGATAGAATTTAAGCTGACTATTATGTGATAAATGTTGAGTTTTATTTTTCTATGAATATAATTCTCTCTTTCTTACTTACAGATCTGAATTTGGTCTTTTTTTGACGTACTTCTACATTTGTGACCGTACTGATATATTCGGAACGTCAAAGAAGGTGTCTTAAATTCAAGAACTCTTTTCTACCAATTTCTTTCAGTAATTTAACCTTTTGTTTTTTTTTGGTAAGACATGCCTGTAACCCACATTAGGAGTCATGAAATATGGAGATACTTTGATAGACGTGTTAATAAGAAGTTGCTAGTCCCAGTATGATAATATATCTCAATTCTCAACAATTTTCCAAGATTTATCCAACGTGTTTGTCAAATTGGAAAACGAACTATCTTAACCATCTAGACATGTTCTTATTACATTTGTACTTTTACAACATTTATAATCATTGTTTTTTTTTTAAATTGATTTCGTTTTTACTCTTAAGGCTCAAGAGCGAAAATCGTAATTTATGTGAAGTCAGTGCCGTTGACATACACCAGTCATATTTGATTATTGTCCCTTATCTAATACCTCTTTTTCATGGTCAACTTTTGCAGAGTTACAGTCGAGATCTTTTCTTCTTCCTCTACTTCCTTCTCATCATAGTTTCAGCAATGGCAACGTTCAAGATACATCACGATAAATCGCCATTTTCAGTGAAACCCATACTCTACTTGAATAGGCATCAAACTGAGGAGTGGAAAGGATGGATGCAGGTCAGTTACTCGTTCACATTATTATTATTAATATTCTGAAATCTGTTTTCAACAAACCTGCATTAATTCAACATGCAGTAGTTCTTGAAATACCATGTTCTTGTAAGTACTATATGTTAGTGGCTCATAACACCCACCAGTAGATATGAATTTAATGAAGCATGATCCCTAGTAACGTTTTGTTTTAATTTCATCTCAAATCTTGCAAGTCATAATGTAAAATTTCTAACCGAGTTACAATTACAAATACTAACTTCATAAAGGTTTTGGTTGCAAGCTTTTAAGCATTACTTCACTGTATGTTCACCCGACATTTATAAATGTAGCCTTATAGCTTTTTGTTGTTCTTGTATAGGTGTTGTTTTTGATGTACCATTACTTTGCTGCAAGAGAAATTTACAATGTGGGTCGTGTATGTGTTGCCGCATATGTGTGGATGACTGGATTCGGGAATTTTTCATATTACTATGTCCGGAAAGACTTTAGCCTTTCGAGATTTGCTCAGGTATGATCTCCTTCAATTTCTTGCTCTTATTTTTTGAATAAGAAGTTATTAGATCCAAATTATTATTTCATTGACCTTTTACACTTAATGCTGAGCAGATGATGTGGCGGCTTAATTTCTTGGTGTTAATGTGTTGCATTGTCCTTGACAATAGTTACATGTTGTACTACATCTGCCCCATGCACACATTTTTTTCTCTTACGGTATACGGTGTTGTTGGTATTCTAAACAAGTACAATGAGATTGGAACCGTCATTGCTGTGAAATTTTTGGCTTGCTTCTTGGTCGTAATCCTAGTATGGGAAATACCCGGAGTTTTTGAAGTGCTTTGGGAACCATTTACCTTCATTATAGGTAGCTCTAGATCTATTTTACTTTTACAGGATAGAGGATTTTCCAACCAATCTAAAATTTCAATAATTGCAGGTTATAAAGATCCAAATCGTTTAAAGGAACATTTACCTCTTCTACATGAGTGGCACTTCCGCTCAGGACTTGATCGCTATATTTGGATATTAGGAATGGTGTATGCTTACTATTATCCAACTGTAAGTTTAATATGCTCTCGTACTATCTTCACGTTTTTCCCTACCTGAAAGTTTTTAGGTCATTTCATTCCCTTGTAGTGCTTCCTTGATTGATCCGATTCAAATTGGGAACCATTATTGCATTCCCCCATTAATTAAAAGATTCTTTATAATGGAATGATTTTGATAGGTTGAGAAGTGGATTGAAAAGTTAGACGAAGCAAAACTGAAGCGCAGAATATTGATCAAAACGACAATTGTTGTGACAGCCTCAACGGTAGAACGTTATTTTCTTTAATATTTAGCATAATCATTTATTGGTTTTCTTTTTTTCTAATTCATGAGGTATCGTGACTTTTTAGGCCGCATATCTATGGTTTGAGTACATATTCAAATTGGATAGTATTACTTACAACAAATACCATCCTTACACTTCCTGGATCCCCATCACGTATGTGGACATTTTCTTATATTGGAGCTTGAAATAGAAAATCTATGTGTGCTACTTAAGCACTGTTTTGTTCATGTGGAGCAGGGCCTACATATGTGTACGAAATGTCACTCAGAGTACCCGTAGCTATAGTTTGACCCTTTTTGGGTAAGTCTTCTTGTTTACTATTATTTATTTATTATTATTATTTTTAAACTCATCTACTGCTCTCTTTTATCATATAATTTAACTTTTAATTGCTTTAGTGAGCGGAATTGGGGATGAGGTTAGGGGCCAGGGCAGGGTTCAACTACTGTTAAAGAATTTTATTATTTTACTATTTTTTTGGAAAAAGGGACGCCGAATACAAAATTCACTTCAAACACATATTCTATTAATTATAACTCAATATTTGCTGAAGGACTGTTGGGTTGAAAATGGTGAATGCCAATTTTTAACTCAATTACATTAAATCGCTCTGTGGCTTTCTCTTGAGATTGTTATTGTTGTTTCCCCCAGTTGGATTGGAAAGATTTCGTTGGACACGTACATCTCACAGTTCCACATTTGGTTAAGGTATGAACTTCCTTTTACAGCTGGTTCTTTGTTTTATGAGTTGGTGTATGTTAGATTAGCAGTACGTTTTCTATATCCGACAAGTTTTGGAGGCAAATGTGCGTATTATTATGTGCAGTCACATTATAGCCTAAGTAGAGAAATCAATATATTAACAATTATACGCTAAAGCATATATGTGCTAACATGTCCTAGCCGTGCTTGCAACTCTGATAATGGACTCTAATCTAACTTCTTTCTTCCAGATCAAATGCTCCAGATGCCCAGCCGAAGTTTTTGCTTACTATCATCCCAGATTATCCTTTATTGAACTTCATGCTTACAACTGCCATACTTATGGCTGTAAGTATTAGTTATTTACTTCTACGTCTTGAATATGTTATTTTGAGTGCGCTAAATTATGATCCTGTGTTTGCTTTCCTGCAGACTTCTTACAGGCTCTCTGAACTGACAAATACATTGAAAATGGCTTTTGTACCTAACAAGGACAATAAGCGCATTATGTATAACATGATTACCGCAGCTGCAATCTCGGGCATCTTATACTCCTTGTCGTTTGTATTCCTTAGGGTTCCACCGACTTTGGTAAAGTTCCCCCTTCTAGTTCCTTGGTTTCTTAAATATTGTTCCGTACTTTTTCTTCATCAAACAATAGGCTTAAAACTTAAAAGTCACTGCTCTGAAAAGAATAAGAGAAAGATTCTCAATTGTGTATCAGGAGGAAATTTGGGGCATGGGAGACTCAAATTTTACTCCACATCATTTGTTAGTGTCTGAATTTGAATGTCTTTAAACATTACTACAAATACCCACTATGTGATCAAATTACCTTATAGTTAATAAGCCGAAATCTAAATTCCACTATTTTACACCATGTGTTATGGTCATTTTCTTGGTCGTCACGGTTTGCCATGTTGCCACCGCAGGTTTGAGAATTGAAGAAAAGAGGGATTGTACAGAAGGAGACTGATGCGTTACAATTTTCTGTGGAAGACACGGGGGCGCATTCGATCCCAAAAGAGAGTATACTGAATGAAGCACAAAATATATCATATAGGTTCATCCACTGTGTTCTTGGTGGGTTATTAAATGAAATAAAGTAATGTTGCCGCCATTTCAGGGCGTATTTATCGATAGTTTCAGGCGAGGATCTTGTATTACATTGAATTTATTTGGTTCTCAACCAAATTAGTCACTTTTTAATAACAATCGACCTTTTGAAGCTTGTTCTAATTTACTTTCAATAAAGCTTTAATCTCATATTAAATAAAATATATGATGCAAGTCCTGCTTGATTAGTAGTGCTTATTCATTTGATCATATGGTGCACATTAATTATTTGGTGATTAGTGTAGTGGGATGATTCATAGGTAGGATTTAGCGATGCGGCCACTGGCTCCCTTTGGATAGAAACCCCCAGGAGAGCGCTCATTGCCCGTAGCATACACAATTCTTAGAATCTCCTGAGGGGTTCTTGCATATGAGACTGAGTATTGATCTCCAGCCAGCACGTTGCCTGTAATGTTACCCTCAGCACCCTCCTCTTTGGGTACCACGATGCCTTCATCTTTTACACCTGCACCTCCCAGCCTATTCCGCAGGTTTGAAATCAGCTGCGTGAACTCTCCCACTGTTGTGGAATCCTTAACAGTCGTTTGTACATATTATTTATGGTGAATTCACGATTTGTAATAATCATGCTTAAACTCGACTAGCTTTGAATTTCAGGGAATTAGAGTACCCTCTTGGCGGTAGGGGATTCAAGTTTTGGATTTGCTCCAACGTAAGGAACCAAGTATGATGCTAGAAGGTAATTCAAGCTATTAGCATAAGGGTCAAAAGGTGGGATCAAGCGACGCCCAAAAGCGCTATCCATCACTTTGGCAAATGACTTAGAACTCAAGTCCAGCAATGGCCTTGGAAATCTCTTCACCGTGTTTTTAATAGCCCTGATACCATGTTAAAGATGATCAAATCATCAATGAACTCAAAAGCTTAAGTAATCAAAGATAGAAAAGTATTTCAAGTGGCCACTTTCCTGGCAGGCGAATTGGAGTACGATATCCTTGACGAAAGGGGTCAATTTGGCGATTTTAGCACCAATAGGGGGTGGGCCTCCCATGGTTAGATTTGGAGCTACCTTGTCCAAGCCATATCCGAGAGAGCCGAATAAGAAGAATTCAGCTTCAAGATACTCCAAATTGAGTGGGAACTCTAAGAGATCAACATCGGTTGGCGTTGGCGGGATGGGGATACAATGAGTTGGCGGAAGGAGGAGGATGATCAAGAAGCTCACAGCGGCGGCAGTAATGCCATCTTCTGCCATTATTGTTTGGTATTTGAACTTTTAACTGCACCTATGTCCATATATATACACAAGACTAGTGGTTGGAGTTGGTCCATATATATGGGAACTGAGGTAAAGTTTTCGGTGCTTCGAGAATATGGATACTCTTTTCATTCACCGTTTACTACGTCAACATCTACTAAAAGTGATGTCTTGTTCACAAAATATATATAGAGGGAAAGTTTTTGATGCTACGAGAGCATGGATACTCTTTTCATGAACTGTTTGCCACATCAGCACCTACTAAAAGTAAGATGTAGTTCACAAAATATACGTAGAGGGAAAGTTTTTTGTGCTACGAGAGTATGAATACTCTTTTCATTCACTGTTTGCCACGTCACCATCTACTAAAAGTGATGTGTTCTTACTCATAATCTCATCGTCTCCTATCTTTTTTTTTTGTTAATTTAATTTTATTGACAACTATAAGTTTAGAGTTTAGGATTCAAGTAAATAATTTACGGTTTAAAATTTGTAATTTTTTTTATAGTATAATATGTAGGAGGAAAGTTGACGACTTTTAGTTGGCTCAAGTTGGTGGGTCTAAAATTTTCGATTGCGTATCAGCGGAGAGATTTAGATTTTATTTTGATTCCTTTTTCATCCTATTTTATTTTAAAAATTCTGAATTCCCTATTTTTTGCCTTCCATTTGTGTTAGGGAGGTCCGGATCTTTTTCATCTTATTCTTATTGTTTTTTGAGTTCAACTATTGGAAGGTTGAAAACTGAATTATCTAATTTTGTGATGGGTATAAGTGTCTCGGTTGAGAGAATTGAATTTACAGCTTAATTGGTTTAAATATTAAACACGGTTCGTTGAAAACTGTAATATTGTAAAAAAGAATACATTTACTTCTTAATTTATGACAATTAATAATTAATGATCGATTTATTGATAGTTGACTTTTAGCTGCTTTACGAAATGCATTAAACAAATTAGGCTTGGCTTTCTTATCCTAAATTAATTTCTTTTTCTTTATCTTCATAATTTGTCCAAAACCTCTATTATTTTCTTATTTTCTTTACTTTTTTCTGCTTTTTAATTTTTTGTTTTTGGTTTTTCTCTACTGTTCTTTTAATTTTGGTTATTTCAAAAGCTCAAAATTATTTTTTATCCATAAATCATAATTTCCTTGGGGCTTTGTTATTGTTTGTTTTTGTTGGTTTTTTTTTCTCCTTTTGTTTTTTGTTCTTTTAATTCCGGCTATTATAAAAAATTTGAAATTCTTTCCTACCCATAAATGAGAATTGGGAAACAAATTAACTCTATCTCTTCAAAAACTCAAAAGAAAATTTTAAAATTAGAAATTTAAGAACTGAAGCAACCTTTTTTTTTAATAGATTCGTTAATTTTGATACTTTATACAATGACATCATTTTGCTAAATGTATATAAATAACCTTTATTATTAATTATTCGATTGACCATTGTATTATGTTTACAATATAACTAAAATTTAGAAGGTTAATATAAAATAATTAATAACTTAAAATCATTTTAATTTATATTATTTACTTTTTTATTGAATTTTATTAGTTATTAATCAATATTTATTTTGACAAAAAAATTCATATATCTAGAGTAATCAAACAAAATAAACATATAATATTATTTTCAATTATTTTAATTCCAGAAATCTTAGAATATGTACAGCCAAAAACAATAATCTTGATTCTCAAACATCTTATTCCGGAGCAACTTAGTCTCAGACATCTTAATCCCAGACTACCTTTTTGAAACCTCCAAATAAACGACCTCTTGAACTTGTGTCACTCTAGTTTATATAACCTTTAAAATTAGTTCAATTGTATTTGCTAACATGAACTCAACTAGTCAAAGTATCTATTTTTTACAGAAAAAACGTGAGTTTTGAATATCTGACATGTTGTACTAAAAAAAATCTTTAATTGTCTCTCAATACAAAAGTTCTCAAAAGATTATCAATCAGTACATGAAATACCGTGTTTGGTCAATTTTTTTTTTGTTATTTTAATGTAATTGTTGTGACCATTAATATATTAATAAACTTACGTACAAGGATCAAATTGATAAATGAATAAAAGTGGAAAGTTGAAAGATATAAATTAACCAATTTAGAATTATTAATTTATTATATATAATACTTCGTTCATGTACCCTTAGATACATACTTTTTTAGTTATTGAAGTTTCGATTGATAGCAATTATGTTTGTAGAAATTTAAAAACAACAAAATCAAGTTATTGTTTTAACTTGTTTCTGTTTTCAATTTTTTATCCAAAACATGAATAAAACATTATTTTATCAATTTTAACTTACAAAATGCATATTAAATATAAAAAATAAACGTAACATATTAAATATTCAATTTTATATAAATTTTTTATTTTTTTAATTTAAAACTTTATAAAGCAAGAAACAAAGGAACTATTACCAAATATGTTTTAGTTTTTTTCAAAAAAAAAGAAGAAGAAGAAGAAGAAGAAAAAGCATGAAAGAAGAAATCGTTACAAAAAAAATATTATTTTTATTAATTGAAAAAGAGAAAACGTGAAAAAATAAAATAATGCTTATACCTCCAATCTGGATAATTGTTAAAATTTAAAACAATGTCAATTACCACTGAACTAAGCTCATATTAGTTGAGGGAGTGAAATTAAACTATAATAAATTATGATATTATTTTGTTATTATTTCGTTCAAAATAAAATAAACCTAAAAATTGTGACCTTTTATATACTAAATTTGCTATTATTTTGCTTAAAATATTTAATAAAGATTTCTCAATAAAATAATATAAATAGTTGAAGGAGTGAACTGAAACATAAGTTAATTATTATTTTATATATCTATCTAACGGATAAATTTGAAATCAATATAGTTTACAATATAAACTTAATCGATATAAGCATAAAAATTAACAACTCTCTCTCATCTCTCATTAGTGAAAATTTATGTCAACAAATGCSTAGAAAAGTTATGTTTTGAAAAAGGTGATTAGAAAACAGAAAAGGCTGTGGAGAACCCCTATTCTGACAAATTTCCATGTTTTATGGTTCGAAATTTGTGCCCGTGACCCCTAATAGAATTCATAATGGTGGAGCATCTTATTCGTTTCACGTTTGTAAAGAAGCAAATGCAATACCAAAATAGGAAAATTTAATTGGGTCAATAAACGAGTAGCTAGTTTTTTTAATGTGACAGAATATTAGTAATCACATTACTAACAAAACCATACGTCTCATTTTGTAACCTCAAAGTTGTTATTAAATTATAGCCAACATGAGCATAATTCATATCTACTCCTTTCCTTGAGAGAACTATTATACACTTCTTTTGACATCTCGATTCCTAATAAGATGGATCGTCAGACCCATCCCCAAAATAGGCACCTAATTCCCCTCCCATGGAGAAACACTAGTGGTGAAGATGTCATGCATCATCACGATGAGCTTGAGCACATGGTGTTCATTGACATGACCTTACAGTTGAAACCACCAAACCTTTAAATGGAAGGCCATAGAGTTCAGGAAAAATAGTGCTACTTTCTGTAACTTCACATCTCAACTGAACCAAAATGTCCATCACCACAACTCAATGCCTTCACGGCCCAAATGCCATTACTGGACAACAACAACATCTAATGCAGCTACAACAAAGCCTCATTACATGAAACTCAACTCAACTTTTACCCCCAAAATCAACATTATCCATTTACCTTCTCACTTCTCCTATTTCTCGAGCCTCTGTTGCCTGTAGCAGCTGATTTGTACGCCTTACTCCCGCCCCCATCATCATCGTCATCCTCATCGTCAACAGTGTTGACGACAATAACCCCATCCTCAATGTCATCACCATAATCATCCAACTCATCCTCATCCTCATCCTCATCCTCATCATCCCAATCCATTTCATCCTCGCTCTCATAATCATCCATCTCATCTTCTTCACTGTCATCATCTACGCCTGCACGAAGGGTGTGAAACTCGGGAGGTGGAGGGCAATCTTCTGTGATAGCAGCGTCTCTCTTAATCACAAGATGTCGAATTATTCTTTCATCCATATCTAACATGCTCTTAAATTCATTAATCCATTTGGCTTCCAGTTCAAAATTCATCAATATGTAATGTGCATATTTAGCTTTCTTTATCTTGTATGCAAGTCTTCGCATTCCCCAATCACTCAGTCTCCATACCTTCCCTTTCTTCTCCCTTAAAAACTCTGCAACAGAAATTTTATACATATCAGAAACTAATGGAAAATTCATCAAAACTTCAAAGAAATATCAATGTAACTAGGATACTGATAAGCTGGTTTTGAGATCTCTCAAAGCCTAATCCCTCACAAGAGTTACACACAACATGGGAATCACACATTTGCTACAACACTACTCACAGAAAAACATATCACGTTAAAGTTCAGGCGGAAAGCACCCGAAAAAAAGGGAAAGAAGAAGAAAGAAGAAAGGACAGTCACGAGATTTCACTTGCAGCACAGATAAGCAATACTGGAAAGTGGAAAGAAATTCAGGAGGCTCAGTAATGCAACTTCAGTCAAGCGGAGTGTAAAAAGAAAACTTAAAACTCATAACAGTCAAGGTGTTGAAATAGTTACGCTGTCGCTACCTTGAACTTTCACATTTACAGTCTCGACCTCTTCTGCATTCTTCTCATGAATTAAATAGACCACCTCATAGTGACGCACTATAAAAACAAGAAAAGTGATATAAGCTTAAACAGGATACAATTTTTGCCTGATTTAGACGATAGTTGGAACTTGGAACCAAACAAATACAAATTTTCCGCTTATTTTAATGATGAAAACACCAATCCTCTACTCCCTATGTTATAATTATCATATTTTCCACAAGAATAAGCAGAAAGTAAGCTTACTTTCTTCAACTTTCGATTCACTTTCCAACTGAAGGTTCAAATATTCATAAAGCTCTTCTGCAAAATGGGGCAAAAACGAGAATTAGTACTCCCATTCGAAACCAGCGTAATTTTCTATAAGGAAAACCAATGAATGGATCAAAAATGGAAGAGAAACCTTCTTCTGCATCAGCAAACTCGGGGAGGAATTTACCATCTTCTGCAACCCTTTTCTGCGAATTAAAACCATAAATCCACCTCAACAAATCTCTCAAACTCACCCATATATGCAAACGTAAATTCAGTTCGAGATAATGAAGACATAAACACATGACGATTTGGACGCATAGATAAAGTTAAAGCTAAAATTTAGTTGCATAAAATTTCACCTCCTTAAGCAGGACAGCTTCAGGGAAAAACCGCGTAGACTCATCAGGTCTGGGTACGGAGCGGTGAGTATCTTCCTTGTTAGTGTTAGCATGGGTCTTCTTTGCGGCGACAATGGCGGATTTTCTTGTAAATCCAGTTGGTAGCTTCAGAGTGCGAAAGGAAGAGTATAGGTTCGGAAAAACACAGCAACGGTTTCGCGTTTCCCAGAAGCCATTTGGAAGCGCCACAGCGTGAATCTTTAAAGCAGCAGCAGGATAAGCCATAGAAGCAGAGGAGAAAGGCAGAGACTCCATGACCATGGAGCGAAAATTCGACGTTTGAGAATGGGCTGTGGAATCGGAGGTTCGGCAGTTTATCCGATACGAAACGAACAAGGAAACGGCAGAACTTGATGTGGGCCGAATGGGCTTCGTAATCTCGACCGTACAGCATAGCGCTCCCAACAAAAGAATGACTAGAAATTATATTTTTTTCACGGTATAATGATAAATTATTTCCAACTTAATTATTGAAAAAAAAAATGGAGTAAGTTTAAGAGATCAAACTATCAACTTACTGTGCTGGATTAACTTTCCTTAGTGATTATTATCAGTATCTCTAATCTCTAGGATAGATTATTTGATACCTCATTTTAGAAAGTATTACGAAAAGCTCTTACTTTTTCTTAATACAATAAGTGGGGTGGAAAATTACGAAAAGCTCTGCTACTAACAAATACTATCACAATCTATAATTTTCATTCATAAATTAAAAAAAAACCCCTCTCAAATCTCAAGCCTCAACAACATGTAATGTAATGTAGTGCAGAGTGCATTGGAGAAATATGCAATGGGAGGAATGGAAAAGGCAGGCATATTGAGGCCATCTTCCAAATAATTCCTCATAAAATTTAGGTTAGTGCAATAACATTACCATATAGGCTTCGGATACATTTCCAATGAGGCCACTTTAAACGACGCTATATACAAACTCTTTGATCTCATCCCTCCTTCCTCGTAGGCCATGGCCATCATCAATTTTGAAATTTCCTATGGAAGCTAAGCTACCTTTGTATATTTAATGACCTTACTTACCTCCTCACCCTCCACTCTGTCTGGACAATACAATACTACCAATTCTTTATTACCATACACTTCAAAACTATTACCAGCTTTAACCAAACAACTATGGTATCTCAACCTCTATCACCATTGCTTCTTTCCCTTTTTCTTTTTCTTGTTGCCACTGCCACTATTGCTACTACTCCTGTTAAAACTTCCTCCTGCCTTACCTGATGCCGATGGGCTCTCCGTGGCATTCCCGCTACCACCACCATTGTCAAACATGCCCGTCTGCATCACATTCTGGAACCACTCGAAGAACTCTTCTTCTGTCATATTCTCTTCTGTATTTGATCCAGGCATTTGGCCTCCTCTTTGGCTAGAACTTGATCCTCTACTAGTGTTCTGTTTAGAGGTTACACTGGTGTTTACATGAAAACTTGGCCTGTGGGTGTTGGCTGGACATCTCATTCCCTGTACCAAAAATCAGGCAATATACAAATCCGTTGTGGGTGATGCCATATTTCTTCAAACTTTAGCGGGGAGAAAAAGGGCAACATGAAATCAAAATTACAGTAGCAATCAAAAAGCAAACAGACTTTTGAGATGCGTAAATTTGAAACTGACTGTTATCGACCTTACCTGACAAATATACCATTCGGTAGCATCATATATTCTGCTCTCTGCACATACATATGCAGAAGGAGCATCAACCTGCACAGAAAACACCATGTTTAGTGTTAGGATATAACATATATCCTTCAACAAAACTACGTTTGACACTAACATTTTTCACTGAAATTATATAATGGAGAGTTCAATCGTCTCAAGTTCTTTTTGTAAGAATCGTTATTGTAAAGAAAAAGAAACTGGTATCCACATATCAAATAATGTCAAGTCTTGTAACAAGTCAATCCACATGTGAGTGAAACATACCTTCTGCAATAATCCAAAAAGGAAAGGCTGGGAAGATTGCTCCACCCACCCGTCCCCATCCTTAGCTTGATGAAAATCTTTGCATTCCTTTAGAAGATTAAATGTACAAAACAATACAAAAGCACCCAACATAAGAATCGTACTTTTCTCTTAGAAAACATGAACCACCTACAGGTACCACCATTATGATACTAGAGCACACCAAATAAAACCAAGAGAGTCCAAAATAGAAGAGAGAAACCTGGCACCATCTTGCTTGAGATTTAAATTTACTGGTGTGTATCCATAAATGAAAATTGTTGCACTTTTTGCAGGCTATCCGTCTTGATTCACCAAATGGATCCTCTCTATCTGCTGCTGAACGTGAAAATGCAGCTGGACCACTCCCTCCATTCTATGAAATGCATCAATAATTAGCATAAGATAACTGAACAAAAAACTTGGACCTAGAAAAGTGTATTTCACTGAAAATTTTGAGGTCTTATTTGACTGCCTTGCCACAACTTCCTTTGCTTTTCCATTTTTCCTTCTTATTTTTAAGTGTTTGTGTTTGTGTTTGTGTGTGTTTCTTTTTATGCAAATTAATATTCTAAACCTTGGGTGAAAGAATTCAATAGATCGTACTCATATTTGAAAGGAAAATGATAATTGTACAGTGACATTATCAACTTTCCTATAAATATTGCCCCTCCCATCTCTCCTTCTCACTCTTCTACATTCTCCACTAATAAGTAATAAGTTGGACTATACGCCAAAAAATGGCCCAATAAAATTATTTTTTCCTTTCTAGTTTGGGTAGGAAAGGTCATACACACGTCATTTGCTATGAACTTGCATGTGAAATTCCATCCCTTTGTTAATATTATGGAAGAACGGAAAAAACAATTTGTGAACAGGAAAACAAGTAATACATGAATGGACATGATGTCAATAGTCATTTTAAAAATCTAATATAATAGTTTTATACAATCCCAATGTCTAGTCAAACATGAAGTTTCCATCGGAAACAACAAGCATTACCTCACAATATAAATGGAAACACATACTTGGCAAGAACATGCATGGGTTCATATCGTCAAGATCCAAGCTAAGTCATGGTTTCGTGTTTGTTAGCATCTTGCCTCGTCTTACCAAAGAAACACTCTATCTCAATTCCTTTTATTCATCTTTTTATAAATGTAGACAGGTTGGGATGATTAAAGGGATTTTTAAAAGGCGAATCCTGGGGGGGGTCGACTTTATACCTTCTGTGAATCACTCTGAAACCTGTGGAAAATGTTTAGTAGCTCTTCCCTTCTCAGCTCATCATCGTAATTTTTTCGCTTTAACGAATCAAGTAAAACCTATACATATAAGACATACAACTCTCAAGAATCAATATACTAAAGAAGTAATACATTATAACCGAGAAGATAAGAAATGTGTTACCTCGTATGCATTTTGAAGTTTCTTAAATGCTTCTGCAGCCTTTTCATTGCCCATATTTTTATCAGGATGGACCAACATTGCCTGACAACCAATTTACAAGCTCATTTAACAAACTAGATATATACCATTACCACTTATGCAGATAATCGAGATAATATTTCAATAAACAACTAATGTCCTATAGAATTACGACCCCACTGATAAATATAAGTGAGATTTTTATTCCATTAATCAAAACAAAATGCAATGCTGAATAATGGAAGCTCACCAACATAACATACAACCAAACATGAGACAGAGCATAGGAATATAACTATATGAATAGTGAACAGGTCATGCAAATTGTAGCAACCTTAATGCAGATATTCACCTTTTTCCTATATTCTTTCTTGAGCAGGGAAGGGTCTATATTCCCATACCGAGGCAATCCTAAAGCTACATAGTGATCTTTGCAATTTAGCAAACGAATAACTTCATCTTCAGAGGATATCTCAGAATCAGTTCCACTGGTCGAAGGTGTGCCTGGATTGCGATCAGCAGCTAAACCTGCACTAGATTCAGAAGATGATGCTTGCATAGGATCGTCATGAAAGAATCCAGGCTGATCTTGCATCCCAGGTGTATGTTCAGGATATCTGTTTGATCTCCTATGCTCATTTATGTTATTCTTTAGGGCATAAATCAAAACGTCACTTGAAATAAATGACAAATTCAGGCCCAAGAGCAAACCAAGCCATCCAGTGCACACCCATGCACAATATACCGAATATAAAGTGGTGATAGAAAGAGCAATCCGTTCGTGGCTCAATATAAATGCCAGCCCTGAAATGTGTGATGTGACACCTCAATGAGCACCCTGACATGATGTTAGCATAAATAGAAAAATTCTGCACACGTTCAAAAAGAAAAGAAATTACCTCCAAGAAATAAGATCAGCATTGTTGTCCAAAAATTTCCATAAAACCAAAGGAAAGCTGCTCCAGAGATGCCAATGACCAAAATTGCAAAACCAAACCCAATAAAAATTCCAATGGATGCAGCTACTACCTGATTAGATTTTATTACTTGGTACTGAGTATCTTCTAAACAAAGGCTAGTGTGAATCACCTTAAAATTCAGAACTTTCTTTAAACAAAATGGCAACACAATGTCACAATCGATGCAAACAAATGATTATCTAAGAAGCCATGCACGGACAGGGTTACGAAACACAAACTGGCTCGTGCATTCTAACATTCAAACATTAAACACGGCTACCTCGATAGTCATTATTATACCAACACCATTTTATATCAAAATTGAGCAACAAAAAGCAATCCTGTAACACAAAGTACTGCACCAGTTAGGAACTTTATCATAAATCTACATAGAAGATGGCAGATAGAACTAATAACCTATTGATTTTGTTAAGAATAAACACACACACACAAAAAAAAAAAAAGGAACTCTACACATTCTGACAGGATATCTGTCTCCATATACATCAATTTTCATGGGAGGAATTTCAAATTGTACTTCAATTTTTTTTTTTTTAAATAACGGGGAGTCGAAGCTTTGCTCCCTTGTACCTAGGGGCACCCGCGCCCGTCTCAAGGCCCAGAATCGGGAGACATCAAGGACTTTTGGTATTAAGCTCACTAGATGGTTTGAACTTCAAACCTTTAAGCCAGTACAACCAAGAGACCCCAAATCCTTGCCAACTGGACTGCCCCTTGGGGGTAATTGTACTTGAGTCCATTAGAAATCTAAACTTTCCAATAAATGCTTGAGGATGCATCAGGGGAGAATTTTTGTTGTAGATCTTTCTTCCATCTCTTGAGTGTCCCTCCACTTCCCCAGATGCCCATATTTTTTGCCTCCCTCCGGGAGGTTATGCATATTTTACATGGGAAAGTTAATATTTTAGACCACATTCAAAAATGTTCTTCCCTCTTGTTAGGGCCACAGTGGTGTATTCTATTCCGATATAATTTTGAGCATCTTGATCATAACCTTTTTCTTAGTTGTTATGGGGGCAATTTTTTGAGTCTTCCAGAGTCTCCGAGGTGAGAAATAGAGATTGTGTATCCCCCTCGAGACAAGGGCAAAATTCTTTGGTAGGCTTGTTTTTTCGCCATTTCGTGGGACATTTGAATTGGGAGAAACAAAAAAGGTTTTATAGGGATAGATAGGTCTTGGGATGCACCTGGGAGCTTATAAAATTTAATACTTCCTTGTGAGCCTTGGTTACCAAAGAGTTCTGTAATTATTAGTTAGGTGTTTTTCTTGTGAATTGGAGCCCCTTTTCGTAGGCTTCGCAATCTTTTGTTGCGCTGATCCTTAATGAAAGTTTGTTTTCTTACAATATATACATTACATGTACATACATACAAACATAAATATAAATGAGAAGTCCCATTTCACCTGGTACCACTCACAATACAACATCAACTACATGATTAGAACAAAAAATAACTTGGTGATCCAATTCTACTGAATATCCATAAGACGGTTTTGCTGCATGAGACATTCTCTAAAAAAGTTACTATTGATTCTTCCACATAATAAGCAAGACAAGAAGTAGAAATTAACCAAAAAAAAAAGCTAGGTAGTAAAAATAGAAAATTAAACAAAGAGAGGAAGTAACCTCTATGCAAGAATATAGCAAGAGCTTACCAAGACCATAAGGAATTTAAGAGTTCCAACCATTGCAATTGTTGAAAGAATTGAAAACCATATAACTGAGAAGAAGGATGTTGTCCCCATGCGTATAAAGGAATCAATGCCCCTGAGGGCACAGTCCAACCAAACAATCGATACAAGAAGCATTATGTTCCCCAAATGCATCATCCATTTCAGAACAATGGGATATGCCTTCATAATCTTCTTTCCAACAGAGTCACCTGTGTTTAGTAAATTATTCTTCATAGAATTAAACAGAGGTCTCTGTTGCTCCAGCAACACACGGGCTGCTTCAAAAATTGATGACAGAGATTCCACAAAGCCTTTCACCAAAACATTATCAGAAAACTTAAGATTATCCATCACATTTCTAATGTGTTCTCCATTCAACCAGCTGAAATTACCATCTAGAGTATCCTGCTCCTCATCACCAGTAGACCCCTTGTATTGTTCTCCCATACTAGAACCTTCGATATTTCCATTGCAGCTCACAGATTCCTTATGGAAAAATGGTGGCTCTTCTGGAACATGAAGTCCCTCCGTTCCTTCTTTTCCTTTTCTCAAGGACTTCACAGATTTTTTTACGTTCTTTGTACCACCTCCAGAGTCATTATTGACCATGCCTTCCTCAAAGAGTTTACTATGACGGTTATCCTTTGGTAGTTCCTCTCCGGGAAATACCTTTATCTCTTGTGCTCTTCCCTGCCCCTTAGACTGCAAGTCTGAACCTCTCTTTTTACTGTTTGATGCATGGCGTTCCGACCCTGCTTTCTGTTGATTACCCTTCCGAGCCATTGAATAATAATTTTTAAGGTTCAATTTCAAGAGGTATTCAACTGAATCATGCCCAATGACAATAAGTGGTCCAGAGCATGCAAGCAGGATAATGTGCAAGGGCTATAACCTATAAAAATATGTATACATTTAAATCTAAAAAATTTTCCTTTCATGATAACTAAAATAACAAATATGTTCACCAGAAAATAAATAAATATATGCACACCAAGCGTAATGATGGATGGAAACATAATCTAGCATTACAGCAAATAATAATGGAAGGAAATCAGCAAGGGCAGAATAACTTTATAAAATAGGGGTGGAAAATTATGTCAACTTTCATAACCAGTGTTGTTAGAGGAATAGCTTGCCCACCTTGATGATGTGATTTCACTAAGGTGCACCTAAGGCTCACTCCCCTTTCCCTTTTGATTTCAGTAGGTTAAAGATCACAAAGTACGTTGGTGTGTGCTTTATATTGCATGACGACAACTATAGACTATTTTTATACTTCTTTAGATTTAAAACCAATTATGCAGTTAGACCAAAACTAGTTGTAATTCTTCTCGTGGAGAAAGATTTACACATCTTTGATCACTTTTCTTGCCTTGTGCCGTGAACCACAAGGAGCCACTAGGGGAGTCCCGATTTTCCAAAGTGTAAGAGTATGGCGAAAAGCAAACTCGATGAAGTCGAGACACCCAAGAGCGAAGAAGAGTAGAGCAAATAAAAAATTAGAGTCAACTAATCCGAAAACTACACAAACTGTCAATGAAATATGCCCATAATCACGGAAATGCATCATTTCCATTGCCCGTGTTCACCAATGAATACGAGTGACAAAGGTGAAGAAGGAAGTTAATTTTCATGTACATTCCCACAGAATAAAGGTTGCATAGAGCTAATAAAGAAGAAAAAAAATCACAATCACATTTTTCCAAAGAAATTGCAGGGCAAGCAGGTGTTTTCTGATTTGAGACAAACTGGGTAAAAGCTGAGGAGGAAGCAAAATTTACAACAAAGTTGCATTGGAACCATAAACAAAATCGTTATTTACAATGTTTGGTGGAAGTAATGTGAGGAATTGGGAGAAGGGAACAGCAGAGGAACCTTAAATGCTTAAAAGATATGAAATTGAATAAAGAAACCTGAAATGTGGAGGTTGGAGGAGAGACATGAGGAAGTGAGAAAACCCTAATAACCAGAAGCTGAGAACGGCATGAAAAGCGGAGAGTTGAGGCTGGATCTTCAGGAACTGTGGTGATGATATCGGAGAAGTTGAAGGCGCCGGAATTGGGTTTTGCAACGATGGCCGGAGAGACTACGGCAATAGCGAAAGTGTTGGGCAGAGGAGGGCCCCTAATCCCATTGCCAAGTCCAACGCAGCAACACCACGGCCATGGGTTTGAAGAATAGGAGGACGCTGTTTGGCTGAAATTGATCGCAATTCCAATTGCTGCGTTGAAAACACGACGTAAGAATTCCCTATGCCGGTTAAAGCCATCACCATCCGGATTATCAACAAGCATTAGAGTTGGAAACGGCCACCCCCAATCAAAAATAATAAATAAATAAATAAATAAAGAAATTCCAATGACACGTGATATAAATTGTATCATCCGACCCGACCCGACCCGACCCTTCAACGTAATATTCGTTAAATAATGATATACGTGTAATTGGCATGGTACTGTGATTTTTATTCACAAACGCTTTTATCTTTATTGTATGTTTAGAATCCAAATAAAATTTTTGTCGAGGAGGAATTGATTCTCATACACCCACCATTATTTAATTCTTTGCACTTTTACAGGCTCTACCTCCAATTCATACGATTCCTTTTTCCATTTTTTTCTTTTAAATTTTTTACGGAATAAATGATGGTTAAAGCACTTGTGATGCATATTAAGTAAACAATAAATAATTTGAATTTGGGAAAGCTTCCATTTGTGTTTCTCCATGTCAGCAATCGATAATTGACTTGCTTACTTTTTAATTCTGGTATTTATCGGTGTATATAATCAATCTTGTTTTGTGCTTTTTTTAGTACAATATGTGGGGTGGATGATCGCACTCACAACCTCTTTGGAAATATATGTCAATTACCAATGAACTATGCTCACTTTGACATTCTTGTCTCGTTAAAAGATAGAAAAATAAATCGCTACTTAGTATAACAAATTCTGATTTCGAATTTTCCTCTTAGTGCTAAAATGTGACAATTTGGGCATGCTTTTCAAACCCATATTATACGAAAACAAACCAAGGGAAGCAATTTAGTTTAACAAAAGAGTAAACTTAAATGCAATTATAAGATGTATATGAAAATACCTAAGTTAAAATATATCGCTAAAAGGTATCATTGTCCAACCCACCAGTTACATTTAAGGTACTTCAAATGCAGAATGAATGAAATCAAATTCGTGCAGAAAATTTTTATAATTAATTTCAATTAAAAAATATGGAGTTAGAACTAAAATAATACCAAATTAAATCCAAGTTCAATATGCAAAACAACTTCTCAATCAAAATCATTCAAGGCTAATCTACTATAGGCTATAGCAATAAAGAAACTTTCTAGAAGATAAAGCCAAAGCATAATTTTACCTTGATAAAGTCACCTAAAGACAACACCAATAACCGCTTTACTTTAGAGTAGAGCAGAAATAAACCAAATATTTGGCATACAGGTCAAAATTAGCCATCAAAGTAGTAAAGGCAATTTATTAGAAAATAAAATCTCTCATGATTAAAGAAGATTAAAATCTAGAAAATAGTAGGAAGGTGATTGAAACCTCCGACATTTTGATCGAAGATATATGTCTTAACCAGTTGAACCATATATGGGTTAGCAAATTAGAAAATTAGTTCTATAATACCATTATACCAATGCAGCAAAAAGAGTTGTATTATGATGGGGAACCATGGTTCAAGTTGTCAATTGATTACAATATCATCTGCGGAGAAGGCTCTCCCTACAATTGTGTGAGAGGTTGGAAAACCAAGTATATTTGACTCATGGAATATCCCGACCTCTAGAATAAGCCTATTTAGTACCTGCATGAGCTCTCCTGATCAGAGCTTAGAGTTCAAGAGGTCTAAGAAGCAACCTTGTTTTATCCCTGGCGGTTTTCTTTTTCTTTTTCTTCTTCAAAACAGAAAAAGGTAGGAGAAAGGATCTGGATAAGCGACTTAATGGGTCCTGCAGGCCTTCCATCTCATAGTGACCAAACCGCCAATCTCTCATGGCATAAGGCCGCTGAATAGGCTCATCGAGGCCTCCTGTAGCAGAAATAGTAAGAACCACAATGATATTTTATAGTTTATTTCAAACTGCAACTCCAAAACTCACCTGCATACATCAAACCATGTTTATTAACAGCTCGATAAAATGGCCGTGTCTTCTTCTGTTTAGCGGCTCCGCGTAGGTCCTTCCATGCACGCATACGATCTTCACGGGTAATCTTACCAGTGGTTACTATCTGTTTATGATGGCCACCAAGTATTCTGAGTGTTAGGAAACAGATATTACGATAAGAAAGGTCAAATTTCATTGGAAAAGAAAAGGAGGGGGATCCTCTACTTTAGAGAATAGGTGGTAAGATTCACGTGGCACTCGGGCAAGACCATTGGCACGATCAACTGCTACAAGTCCAAATTTAGGACCATAACCATCAGCCCACTCCCAGTTATCAGAAATAGTCCAAAACAAATAACCAAGTACAGGTACACCCTACGAAGGTAATAGGCAGATCCGTCATCCTATTATGTGTATTGAAATATAAACTATGTGACAAGAAAGCTCAACTCAGAGACAATACCTTGATTATGGCAGCATATACAGCAAGCAAATGTTCAATCAAATATGGCCGACGGATCAAATCTGTTTCATCAGATATCCCATTTTCAGTAATTATGAATGGAATATTTAAATGTTTGTACCTTTCATGGTACTGAAGCAACATGCGATACAACCCATCAGGATACACCCCACGTCCAGATTCACTATACTCGTCTGAATCTACGAGTTTAAGTCCAGTCCCACAAACCACTTCCTGGTTCATGGAAGAGTAATCTCAAGACATGCATGTATGAGTACAAAAGCATTACTCTACAAGTGAACTTGATAGGGGAAGAAGAGAGAAAAAAAAAAACCTGCCCGTAATAGTTTATGCCTATAAAATCAACTTTGTCTGAGATGCTATCGATGTATGGGAAAAGTGTCAAGGAGTTCGCCACTGTAACAGCTGCAACATCAAAAAGACCATATGGTCGCATAAAGGAGACATGGTGTGCAACTCCGACAATGGCAGTTGACAAGTTACTGCAAAAAGTAAAAATATTATATTCATTAATGTTGCAGAAAGAGATCTTGGAAGATAAAATTGCATGAACCCATATTTTATTCAATTCTCTTTTTCTGTCTCCCGTTGGTCATCTTTAGTCAAAGAATTTTTACTATCCTTCCCCAATTAGAAAGCTCTTTTCTGCTCCCCTATTCCTGAGATGAGGTACGACGCTTTGTTCTTCCTCATCGAAACCATATATTGCATAATCAAAAAATAGATGGGAGAAGCAATTGCCATAAGTAAATGAAACAAAATAGTTGTCTTCCTGTTCCATGAGCTACAACTGGATTAAAAAATGAGGTTTTTCCAAGTTTCAAATGAATTGCTATTGAAGTGTGTATAGATAAACAGAAAATTACTTGCATATGTGAGCATGCGATCTGGAGGCATTTAGATAATGCATCAGTGCTCAAAATATTTCTACACACATTTTGCATAGTTTTACAAGTGACACAGACCTTTTTTCATGGATATAGTCATAGGCCTTCGAGTGTGCAATGGCTATCCAATGCATTGCCTGTTGAAAAACACCAGTAGGCAGTGCGGAGGTGGCAATTTCAAGCATATCAGGATGACCCCCAGGCCAGGCACCAGCACAGTAAGTAAGCATACAGAAGACATGAGGCTCATTAAATGTCACCCAATAATCTACCATATCCAATGTGTTGTCGACTACTAGCCTGCAAAATAGGACCAATATCATTAAATACAATGACAAAATAAAACAAGCCCACGGGAACTACACAAGTAGTATCAACAAACAGATGCACAGTATAAATCTAAACTTCACTCCAAAAGCCTGCATTCTGTTACATTCACATCTCTTAAAAGATGCACACATGCATTCACATCTCTAGAAAGCTGCAACCTAAAGTAACATCAATCGCATTCTTTACGTGTCATCATCAATAGAATTTAGTATAATCACGATCCATTCACAAATGCTATAATCAGCTGCATGGCAAGGACTCGAACTTTGGTTGCATTGCATGACAGAGTTTCAATACCATCTTTACGATTCACTATCATTGAGTATGTAAAAAATAAATAAAAAATAAAAAGAGGCCTATCATGTATCAGAAAAAGTAAACTAGTTTTCTCAAATTCACTGCCTAAACCTTTTCAAGATCCCCTTCTCCAAATCTTTAAATCATCTCCAGTTCATGATTCATGTACATGTTCCAATTCAAAAAAATAATAATAAAAAATAAAAACTAATAAAAAATAACAACTGATAGGATTGAATCCGATCCATTTCATGCAAAACATCTCAAGAAAACTACGTCTCTCAATGAACAAAAAGTAAAAGAGTGCCAAACCCAAATTAGCAACCAACGACTATATCATATATTAGAATACATCTTCATTTCTAGTCCTACCTATAGCATATGTACATCAACATGATCCGTTGGGCATGCAACACTTACAAGCACTAAAACATAGAGAAGCAGGTAAAAGCGCCGGCAGAAGAAATATAATTACAAACCTAGTGAATTCCAAGAAATAATCAACGGTTTTTTCCAGCTTCCACCCTCCATAATCCCCAGCCCATGGGGGCAGGGAATGATGAAACAGTGTAAGCATCACTTTCATGCCATATGAACGAACCCTGTTGATGATCCACTTATACCGCTCCAATGCTGCATAATTAACCTGAAAGGTAACATCAAGCAACTGACTCGGACCGTGTTACGTCAATTAAAATTTTGCCGGAACATTTTATTGGGTATATAAGTCGTTAATGAAAAAAGAGTATAAATCGTTCAATGTGCCTCACAAAGTAATTCAGCATTGATTTATATTGTCCCCAAGAAATGATAAATGGATGTGTCCAAATGTACAGAAGAGTATTGGTGTATCACACTCTACACTCGAGTAAAGGGGAGAAGGCAAGTCAAAAGTTTAGGTAGGTAACAATCAAAATTGGACTCACGGTAGCTTTAAGCCCTTTAACTGGTTCCTGAGTCATGATTCTAGACCAATCAATTCCCATTCGGAACACACTGCTCCCAGTATTTTTAGCCAGTTGCACCTCTGTATCAGGATCAGACCAAAACCTTAGTCTCTCCTCTCTGAAATAAATCCAAATAACTCATTTATCCTTCTGGAAGCCATAAATAATGCTGTGCAGTTAATTAATCATCGACCTTAAGCTAGCAAGA